TTTCAGTGCTTAGACTTCAACAAGTATGTACACAAATTTAGTTTTTTAACTCTAATTCCTTAGTTTTAAATGTTTGAACTACTGATAGCTTGGTGTTGCAATTGTGTTAATTAGTGTAGTGTAATGACTAATGATAAATTGTTTTTGTCTTTTTCCACTGAATGACGGTCTCGATGAAGACTGGAACGTATGGATTAATAAAGATGATTTCCTAATTGCTTTAGTTTTTTTTACTTGGTGATATTGCCTGACTCAACACAATCTTTTTATATATATATATATATATATATATATATATATATATATATATAAAACTATCTGTAAGTGGAAATCTGTCTTAAGGCAATTATGGCATTGTGCCTTAAGGCAAATTGCTAGTACTTCCCGTACCAAAAATTATTATTTTTTTAAAAACGATTAACATTTTTGAAAAAAATTTACTTTGAAAAAATAAGATTTTTGAGAAACTATAAATTGGACAAAAAAATACTTTTTTTGAAAAAAAAAATTAAAAAAAAAAAATTTTTTTTAGTTTTTTTTTTTTTTTGAAAAAAAATTTTTTTTTCTTTATTTTGACATATTGTGGAAGATCTGAACTTTTTTTTCAAAGCAATCGTACTGCTTCAACTGCATAGGGACAAAATATAAAGCGCGTAAGCGCCGCGTCGCTGTCTAACGCATAAGCATTGGTACGGAACCCATAGGAATGTCAACAAAATGTATACTTATTGTTAAAATCTCTATAAAATATCTGATAATTTGATGTGCATATGTCTAATGATCATTTTTGACCGCCAAATGGCTCATTTTTTTACTTTTTCCTCCATATCTCCGAAACCGCTAGACCTACCTTCATGAAAATTTTATCGATTCTTCATCTTGTCAATACAAGTGAAATGTTTTTTGAATTATTCAAATCGGACAGACGCTCCGTTCTCTTAAAAGCTGAGTTACCGTTTTCGGCACTTTTTTCCCCGTATCTTCGGAACGGCTAGACCTGCCTTCGCCAAAAACTAATCAGCACGTCTCTTTATCAATACGAATCGAATGTTTTTTGATTTATTCAAATCGGTTGATCCGTGTTCCCGAAATCGTCGACGAAAATTTGTATCCGCACATACATACACACACGTACATACACACACACACGTACATACACACACACACACATCCATTTTTTCTAAGGTATGCCAAAATGTTCAGAAACCTCTGAAACGTAAAGATATATAAAATTTTCATTTTTGATTTTCTTGCGATTACTATAACTTGTCCTACGGGAAGTTAATAATATTATTGTATTATATTTATATTGTTTTATTTTTCCGAATATGCTGTTTAGTAGAACAGTACATCACACAATAAGTATGAATTATTTTCGTTTTGTTCATCATAGCATATGTGTCCTCGTTACATAGCTTAACTTTCTCCTTCATATGTTTTTTTTCACAATTTGACATTGTTGATATAATTCTTATTAATTGTATATGCAATTTCAATAATATATTTATTGTTTTGCTGTAGTAAATTAATTACTCGCAAACTTTTTATTGATTGTGAAACATATATTATTTGTGTGTATGGCATGTTACAATTTCTTTCACTTTGATTGATTTTCTTTAACGATTTATGATTAATAGATACTGTGCTGTGTTATCAGCTTTTTCAATGTATCTCTCTTCGTAATATATATTTGTTATTTTGACTAACAAATATTGGAAAACCATGTATTTTTACTTAATGCCTACATAGCTTGAAAATTAATATTTCATTTTGAAGATATTATTTTGAACAAAATTTGACTTTTTCATCTAACAATAAATTCGTCTCAATACTAATCTAATCGAATATAAAAATTTTCAACATTTTATCTTATCAATCGGCCTAGGTATCGATAAAAACATGCGGAACTGATTCTCTTTTCTTTTCGAAGTGATAACTTCTAAAAAAGTGACTTCCAATAAGATAGCTTTAATAAACGTTTAATTCTACTATTGAAAGGGTACGAAAACTTTGTTGCGTTACTATAGAAATTGAAGATCGATTTGACGGATAATCAAATAAAAATAGGATATATGAATGTTATCAGAAGCGTTTATGGATGATAACGAACCTGCTATTCTTATATTTTGATATCATTGTAAGATTTCATTTTTTTTTTGAACAATCCAAGGTCTCTATGACAATCTGAAAAATAGATGTCTAATTCTTACTCCACGTTTTGATATAAAAGCTTTTTACTCTGCTTACTCATAATTATCAGATAATTCTGATGTGACGATTGCGTCGCCAAAAAGAATTGAAGATATAAGTGCTTCAGAGTGCGTAGTCAAACCAACAGCGAATTTTTTTTACAAAATTGCAGTGAATAAATAATAAAAAAATATTTATTCACTGTACGTATACAAGCTGGTGAACGAATTGATTATTTTGATCGTTTTGTAACCGTTGAAGATTTTAATGTGTGTTTTTCATTAATTGAGCTGTAACATTAACGTTTCTTAAAGACAAAGAGTTAGAAATAATAAATAGTTAGAACGATTCAACCAACAACGAACGGGGGTAAATATGTTATCAATTAAAAGCAAATACCACAATTGTCTTTGTTGTTCTTTGTAGTAGCGTTTATAAATATAAACGCTATTATAAAAGAGTTGTTTAAGTTATAAAATATAACTTAAACACAATTGCTTACAGAAGACCTAGTTGGTTATGATAGCTTTTCAATATAGTGTAAATAATGGACTTAATGATATTTAGCTACTCAGATAAAAATTTTTAGCTGTTTATTTCGAAAATAAAGTTTGTTATTGCTAAAACCAATCAATGCGATTTTCAGGTGATCTAATTCAAACAAACGTATAATGGTAGTATTTGAATTTATTATACACAAACAGGGACATACAATTTCCTAAAAGGGCGGTTCATTATTTGCATTATGAGTTTTTATAATTAAACTACTTTTTGCAAGACTATAATAATAATATAAGATATTCGTTTCGATCATAAAACATATTGCTCTAATCTCCATTATAAGTTTTTTTTACATCGCAAAAAAAATACGAAGAAACGTCTCGGACGACCTTTGACAAAAGCTAATCAGTATGATTCATCTTTTGAAATGTTACTAAATTTTCAAAAAAGATTCAGGATTTAAATCTGGTCTAAAAGTTTAACACTTATCTGTGCTATACTTCTAAAGAAACGACTCGACCGATGGTCTCTCATTGAGCTGTATCGAATGGTTTTATCTACATTTATGGAATCGGTTCAGCCCAGCCGTCTTCGAGAAAACGTCGACGAATATTCGAATTTAGGCTCACATCGCAAATGCGCTTGTGATTATTCCAATGATTGAATTTTTAAAATCGCTAATCGTAGTCCGGTAATATTTTGATCATAACATTTATCATCATAAAGTTTCATCAAAATCGTCGATTTTTTATTCAAATTTTAATTACGAAGAAATGGCCCGGCCGATTTTTACCGAAACCTAATCAGCACGATTCCCAAACAAATTCATCTTCAATTATAAAGAAAATGCTTGCTCTATCCGCATGCAAAACAAATCAACGCATGTTCTTATTGAGTTTCATGGAATGGTTTTTATAGTTTTTAAATCGGTGCAGTCGTTTTTGAGAAAATGTCGACGAAAAGTCAAAAATCGGCTTATACACACATATACTTTTTGCTTTGTTGTCAAACTATTAGGAATGACTTAAACTACTTTTCAAAAGTTCAAACTATAAATAATATTATTAATGGATAAATTTTCAGTCAACATGATTTGAAAACATATTTATATATTTTTATTTTATTTTCTTATAAATCACAATCTGTCTAAATAGAAAGACATTTAGTAATAAGTTTGACAAATAACATAGAATTTTGAAAGGAAAACCTAGTGGTTCACCTTTTATTAATGTAATTTGAAAACATGTAGATTCTGTTCATGTCTACAATATTACTGTTGTTTTAAATTAACGTAAGAGATAAAGTTTTTAAAACTTTATTCCATAGATGCCTAAAATAAGTAGCCCAATAACATCTATCAATTTAAGTTATTTTTGGTCATGTGACTTGTTGGTTGATTTTACAGCTTACATTCCGCACACGCGATTTTTATTTGCCAAATTGGAATTGATCAATTTATCCAATTTAGATAATTTATACTCGTCCTGTTAATAAACAATCACATGGCGTAACTGGCGTTTTTGGCAAAATTAATCACACGATTTTAACAAACAATTTGAATTATGAATATTTGAAAATAATTAAATTGATGTACGAATAATATAATTTTTCATCTTATAGTAATAAAACAGGTTGTTTATAATTTGTTTTGTATAGTGTCGAATTTTGAATAAAACTCATTCATTTGTTCGGTAAATCATATTTAAAAAACATTTTTAAAATTTTTGAAAATTTTTCTATGCAATTTCGGTACAAAACTTTGATTGAATTGAGCACTATCGAAAAGACCATATTAAGAGCTAAAACTTAGAGAGGATTTTTTTTTTATCAATTTGGAAGCATTTGAGCCCCTGGGAGCAAGGAAATTCGAAAATGTCCATATTAAGGACCGCCCTAATATATATATGTGTATGTATATATATATATATATATATATATATATATATATATATATATACATACTGCTATTAGACGAGCGGTTTAGAAATGATAGCAGTCTGAAGTTGGTTGCAATACATATCAGCCACCCTTTATAATAATTTGAATTTGAACAGTCAACAATTCCATACTATTCATCTTCATCGAAATGTTTTTACAACTTCAATATTGTAAATAAAAAAAGGTAATGAAATTCATGATTAAAAAAGCATATGCGGGTATTCAAGGTTTTGGCACAGGCAGTTCAACCTTCCAAATTGATGTAAAAATTAAAATATTCAAACATTAGGTCTCACTTAATAAGTTTTTCTTATATCAGCCATAAGTAATTAGCAAATTTTTAATCCTTTGTGTGCTTTTTATATTTTCAGGAACAATGAGAAGCGTAAGGAAAAATCCCGGAATGCTGCACGATACCGCAGATCACGGGAGACCGAGATTTTCACTGAGCTGGCGGAATGTTTGCCTCTTGCTAAAGAGGACACGGACCATCTTGACAAGACCTCAATAATGCGACTGACAATCTCGTATTTGCGAATCCGAGCTGCCGTACCTCAAAGTGAGTAAATTAAATATAGCTCTGTTATTCCAAATCACATAATTTTTTAACCTCCCGAAGGAAAAGTAATAATAGTCGCAAAAAATCGAATATGATTTTTTAACTTCCCGTAGGGCAAGTTATAGTAATCGCAAAAAAATCGAAAATGAAAATTTTATATATCTTTACGTTTCAAAGGTTTCTGAACATTTTGGCATATCTTAGAAAAAATGGATGTATGTGTTGTGTGTGTGTGTATGTATGTATGTATGTATGTATGTATGTATGTATGTATGTATGTATGTATGTACGTACGTGTGTGTATGTATGTGCGGATACAAATTTCGTCGACGATTTCGGGAACACGGATCAACCGATTTGAATAATTCAAAAAACATTCGATTCGTATTGATAAGGAGACGTGCTGATTAGTTTTTGGCAAAGGCAGGTCTAGCCGTTCCGAAGATACGGGGCAAAAAGTGCCGAAAACGGTAACTCAGTTTTTAAGAGAACGGAGCGTCCGATTTGAATAATTCAAAAAACATTTCACTTGTATTAACAAGATGAAGAATCGATATAATCATGAAGGTAGGTCTAGCGGTTTCGGAAATATGGAGGAAAAAGTAAAGAAAATGAGCCATTTGGCGGTAAAAAATTATCATTGGACATATGCACATCAAATTATCAGATATTTTATAGAGATTTTAACAATAAGTATACATTTTGTTAACATTCCTATGGTTTCGTACCAATGCTTATGTGTTAGACAGCGACGCGGCGCTTACGCGCTTTTATTTTGTCCCTATGCAGATAAAGCAGTACGATTGCTTTGAAAAAAAGTTCAAATCTCCACAATATGTCAAAATAAAGAAAAAAAAAAATTTTTTTC